GAGGGGAAGGGGGGAGGGAGGAGGGTGAAAGGGATAATTCGGTACATGTGTGTGGTGATGGGTTGTAATTAGTATTTTGTGGTGAACATGATGTAGTCTATGCAGAAATAGAAGTATAATGATGTACACCTGAAATTTTTACAATGTTATAAACCAACGTTACTGCAATAGACAAAAAATTAAAAAAATAAAGGCCGTATATGAAAAGCCAATAGCTAACCTCATACTAAACGGTGAAAGGTTGAATACTTTTCTTCTAGACATGCAGATGGCCAACAGGTACATGAAAAGATGCTCAACATCACTAATCATCAGGGAAATGCAAATCAAAACCACAATGAGATATTCCCTCACACCTGTTAGAATGTCTATTTAAAAAGACAAGAGATAATTGTTGGCAAGGATCTAGAGAAGAGGGAAGACTTTTGCACTGTTTTTGGGAATGTAAATTGGTGCAGCCACTATGGAAAACAGTATGGAGGTTCCTCAAAAAATTAAAAATAGAACTACCATCTGATCCAGCAATTCCACTTCTGGGTATTTATCCTGTGGAAATGAAAACACTTAACTCCAAAAGATATGTGTACCCTCATGTTTATTGCAGCGTTATTTACAATAGCCAAGACATGGAAACAACCTAAATGTCTATCAAGGGGTGAATGGATAAAGAAAATGTGGTGTATACATACGTTGGAATATTATTCAGCCATTAAAATGGAAATTCGTGGGCCGGCCCGGTGGCATAGTGGTTAAGTGCGCATGTTCTGCTTCAGCGGCCGGGGTCTGCGGGTTTGGATCCTGGGCATGCACTGATGCACCGCTTGTCAAGCCATGCTGTAGCGGCATCCCGTATAAAGTAAGGGAAGATGGACACAGATGTTAGCCCAGGGCCAATCTTCCTCAGCAAGAAGAGGAGGATTGGCATCGGATGTTAGCTCAGGGCTAATCTTCCTCACAAAAAAGAAAAAGGAAATTTGTGACAACATGGATGAACCTTGAGGGCTAAGTGAAACAGTGATATGCTTTATGCTAAATATGCTAAATGACATAAGTCAGACAGAGAAAGATAAATACTGTCTGATTTCACTTATATGTAGAATCTAAAAAACTAAAGTCATAAAAACAGAGTAGATTGGTGATTGCCAGTGGTGGGGAATGGGAGAAATGGGTAAGTATGGTGAAAGGTACAAACTCCTAGTTATAAGATCAATAAGTTCTGTGGATGTGATGTACAACATGGTGAGTATAGTTAGCAATACGGTGTTGTATATTTGAAAATTGCTAAGAGAGTAGACCTTAAATGTTCTCACCACAAAAAAACAAAAATTGTAACTATGTGAGGTGATGGTTCTGTTAACTAACCTATTGTGGTAATCATTTTGCAATATATATATATATCAAATTATCACTTTGTAAATCTTAAACTTATACAATGTTATATGTCAATTATGTCTCAATAAAGCTGGAAAACATTAAATGGTATCAACTTACAATTAACCTATATTAAAAACAAAAAGTAGTTAATACTGAAAATTAATCAGTTAGTAATTTTTTTGCCACTTTTTACTGTTATTTATGTTCTTGAGTATGTTTATGTCTGTTTTATGTGTATGGTGGAAATATAGATTCCATCTGCACATCACTTCTCAACTTCAGTCCATTTATTTTCTAGTATTTCATGAGTTTTGGTAAAGGCCAAATATTGCTAATGCTACAGCAAGCCTTCTATTACCCCATTTGCTATTGGAATTATTACTATTATATTAATTTGCATTGACAAAGCTATAATTTATTATTGTCAATAAATTTTTCTGCCATCATTGAAATTATTAGTGGCCACCAGTAAGTGACTATTGTTTACAATTTGCAAAATATGTTTTCATATCATATATCTTATGTTTTATAATACCACCAATCTAGGCTCAGCCTTCACTTCCTATTATTGACCGTTCACTGAGGTATAATATCTTCCTTAAACAGATATTGTCTTATCCTTAAACAGATATTGTCTTATCCCTCTGAAGCAAAATACCATTATAAGTCAATATGTGAACTTCCTTTTTTCTTTGCAGTGTAAATATCAATCAGTATTTGTTGTTTAGCCATATCTTATACATTTTTAGATATTTATTTTCATTTTCTAAATCTTTAACATTTTTGTTAAATTTTATGTGCTTACTCCTGGTTGCTGTTACTGCTAATGAATACGTTAATTGAAAAAAGAGAAATACCGAGGGAAGCTTAATTAGACATGCTAAATAGATCCCATTTAGTCTTTAAACTAGAAAGAGAAGGTTGCATTTCCACTTTCCAAAGGATTATACATGTTTCTCATTATTTTCTCACTCGTTTTGTTAGCAACCTTTCTCTGTCTTCACAGGCATTCATTTTTAGTTTTATGATTAGATAGTTCTGAGATCCCATAAGAGCTTATTATATCTGACCTTAGTCTTCACAGATAGTCAGTATTGATTCTACCCCAGCTGGATTGGTATGTTATAGGTTTAGTCCACTGTTTTCATGTGGCACGTGAACTAACTGAAAATCAAAAACTTGGCTGTATTGCTGAAGCTCGACATGGAGGGTACTAACTCTGAGACTACCTCCCTCCCCCAAAAGTAGATATATTTAAAAAAAAGAGAGAAAATGGTTACAGTCTGGGCTTGTCAATTTTATTTTTTAAGGATCAAGTTCAAACTTCCAAATACTTTAGTTTTTGAAGAACATTTGTTAAATATATTGTTTGTGTATGTGTGAGAGAGAGAAAGACAATAGACAAGGAGGCTGGGAGGAGGGAGAGAGCGGAAGGGGAGAGAGAGAATTTAAGCAGCATACTAAAAGCAAAGGAGAAATTTATGTCCATTTGTCATTTTCCTGAATAATTTATCCTGATCTGGCCCATACCCAGCCATTCCTCTACTCTAGCTGTAGTGATGTCTAACTCCTCGTCCACACACCCAGCCTCCCTATCCCAGGACTTCTGTGTCTGTGTGAAACTCAAGCAGAGTTGCCTATTCACTTGTCCCTTGGGAGGGCACTATACCTGTACCTCTATCTCCAGGGTCTAGCACAGTGCGTGCATCTCACATGTTCAGTGACTGCATGTATGAATGCTGAAAGGTGTTTTTTGTTTTAATGGTTTTACCACTTTCGGGGAAATAAAGGTTTATCTTCTTTATAAAATACCAGATTGTAAAATACTCAACTTATCATCATTCACTTAGAAAGAGGGAGACTTTAAGTGAATTAGTTTCTCTAGGGCTGACTACAGTTATCTTGCCTGGGGCTTTCTTGTATAGCCATTTTAGTAGAGATCTGAGAGGAAGATGAAGAGGCTTAGAACTTGGTGGTAGGAGAAGTATTGTAGACCATATATGTGCAAGTTAGTGTCGCTTGAGGCTTCAATGACAGAATTGCTAAAGCAGTAAAGAGTACAGTGTGCTCATATTCTAAATAACTGAATATGAGCAGAAAAATGTTTGCTGACGTGAACAGCTGGGGTCAAAGCCAAGGCCCCAGACAACTCATAGATAAAAAAGAAATGAGCAAATATTTAGAGAATCAAAATGACAACAGCTAAATATACTTATTTAACTTTAGGATATTTTATTTAACTAATTTACGTATTTCATGGTTTATAAGTAGAAAATATAAGTGGCTGATTTGTATAGGAACTTAAATAAATGGTTACATTTCTAAGTGGGTAAATAGAACTCTATTTGATTTAGTTATTTAGGCAGGAAGTTAGTCTAACAAAAGTGTCAAATACTATAATCAGCCAAGGTCAGACTTTTCAAAGAAGCGACATTTAAAGTAGATGTTTACATAAGAGTTACATCCTAAGACACTGAGGAAGAACAATACTTTATTCTGTTTGCTTAGTCTAATTTCTAGAATGTTGGATATATCCCTCTCTAAATTCTTTCAGTTTATTGATACAACAATTTAGAGATTTGTTCTTTTAATTTCAGACTTCATTCTCTGTTCAGATAAAAATACCTCTGGGAGGGTATAGGGTATATTAGACTTTATTGGTCATTTAAATCTTAGTGATAGAAGCTCATAGGTTATTTCCTGAAACTGTTTTTTATAGAAAGAAAAATAGCAACATCAAGAAGACTCTGGGAGTGGCTGGCCCGGAGGCGCAAGCGGTTAAGTGCGTGCCCCGACGCACTGCTTGTCGAGCCATGCTGTGGCGGCGTCCCATATAAAGTAGAGGAAGATGGGCATGGATATTAGCTCAGGGCCAGTCTTCCTCAGCAAAAAGAGGAGGATTCACATCAGATGTTAGCTCAGGGCTGATCTTCCTCACACACAATAAATAAATAAATGAATGAATGAATGAATGAATGAATAATAAATAAAATCTAAAAAAAAAAAAAGACGACTCTGGAAGGACAGTATTGCACTATCTGTCAAAATTAAAAATGCATTAATCCTTTGACCCAGGAATCCCTCTTTTGGAGATATTATTGAGGGAAAAAAAGCAAGATTCATCACAGTGTATATAGAATGCTATCTTTTATGTAGGAAAGGGAAAAAATAAAATAAGAAATATAATTATTTGCATAAACACTGGCAGGATACATGAGAAATTATTAAGAGTAGTTATGAGGTTATGCAAAAGAGGTAGGGGGAGGCAGGTCCGGGGATTTCTGTACATGGGGATAGAGAGGAGTGAGACTTTTACCTTTATATATTTTTACATTGTTTTGATTTTTCAATCATGTGACTGTATTACCTATTTTTAAGATGGCTTAATGAATGAAATGACACGATGATTAAAATTCACAAAAGAGAGAAATTCATCTCAAGTGAGGAAGCTGGAAGCTTTGAACACAGATTTTACCTGTGTTACTGCAGAAGGCTGGCTCTGAAGAACTTCATTCACTAGAGGCCTTTAACCATTAATGCAGAGGACTAATAACATGAAGGAACTTTCCTGACATTCTGGCCAAATGCCACTCAGTCATGTTCTATATGTATGTGTTTTCCTGTAGATGCCAGAGGAACAAGCTTTCTGTGTTTTGGTGAAAATCATGTATGACTACGGTTTACGAGATCTCTACAAAAACAACTTTGAAGATCTTCATTGCAAATTCTATCAGTTGGAGAGACTAATGCAGGTAAATAAAAATTAGGAACTTTTATCACTCAGGGATTTGTTGAGTTATAGAAAAAGCCTAATAAAATTGATGAACAATAATGATTTATGCAAGTTTAATGGAATTCTACAGAAAATGTAAATGGGTTTGGTTTCTGACCAATGTCTACATTGGCTTTAATATCATAAAACATTTATTTAATCGTTGACCATTTTTAGAATAGTCTTCCATTTTAAATATTCAACTTTAATGCTTTGAAGTGTGCACGTAGTAAGTTAAGTCAATGAAAAGATTGCTGTGTATTATTTGTAAAGAAATGAAGATATTTACAAATAAAAATTGAAATTCTTAAGAGCTTTCTCTTTATTAATTAGCACCAGTACCATATTTAGGTCTGCATGTAGAGAACGCTTTGAGGAGACAAAAAGATCTTGATAAGAGAGTAAGAAACACCTAAAATATTGTAGGGACATAAAAATTTTTCCCATATAATTTCCTGCTCTCTAACAATGTTCTAACTTTTTCATAATATGTATGTGTAAATTTATATGTATGAGAAACATTCATATTTATGTGTGTGTGTGTGTGTGTGTGTATATATATATATATATATATATGTCAAATATTACATAATAAAAAGAATTGTGAGCAAGGGCAAAATTGTTGACCAGTGCTGATAAAAGGAATTACTGAGTAGCTTTGAAATTCCACCTGAGGTTGGAAATCTTAAATTTATGATGGGTCTATGCAGCATGTTTATATGGCTTTCTCTGTATAAAGTATTGAGAATCCAAGAGAAATGTGAAGGAAATATGTGAATAAATTGATTCTATATTGGGGAAAAGGAAAGTGATTGGGGGGGAAGGTTAGTGGGATGTGACAGAGGATACTGGTAGGAGCTCATTGACATGATCTGTCAGGAGATATCTTGAGATAGGTATCTGAAGAGGGAAGTGAAGCCAATAGGAGACTGCAAGACTAGAACAGGGGAGTGGAAGAGGGCGAGTTTGCTGTGAGGTTAAGGTTAGCTTTATTGGGAGAAGGGAATACAGGAGGGTAGAAGAACTTAAATGTGAAGAAGAAATAAAAGGGAGGAAGGATGTCAAATCAACTGTAAGCACAATGACAAATGGGCATTGAGGGGAGAAAAGACTGTATGGAAGAATCTGGTAACTATGGACATTAAAAGCAAGAGGCTCTTTTTAGAGATTGAATTCTTCCAAGTAAATATTTGGGATTATTCACTTTTTTACTTTTTATTTACCTTTTATTTACAAAAGTTCATATTTTTTTCAATGGTTAGTATTAAGAGCTCTGAGAGTCAAATAAATGTATCTGATAAATTAGTAGCAAGTTCCTGGTACGGAAGGAACCCAAGATTTTTCTGTTAGTGTTGTTTGTCTGTTAAGTGGATGACCGTTTGGATACCCGATTTAAAGTACCTGATGGGCACATTTGGTTGCTTTTCAAAGAGCATCTTGTGCAAGAAGAGGGTTTTTTTGTTTTTGTGGTCTGTTTATGAAAACAAAACTAAATTGGGCTTTTTTACATATCTTTGCCTTTGCTCTTCAGTTATGGGAACAACTATGCTAATGATTTTTACTTTGCCTTTCGTGCTTTTGAAAAGCATTTACTTGTTTAACTTAGGAAAAAAGAAAAAGCTAGCATAAAGGCATTTTTAGAAGACATCCAATTTCCTACATTATACACCTGCACAATTTCTGTACTTTGCCATTTTTAATATGTCAAAGATTTTTTAAAGTTTGGTTATGTTTTGGGCTTTTCTGAGTACCCCCAAAATATACAGAAGTGATATCATAGAACGCAGATGATGTAGATATTAAGTGGTCTCCAAAGAGAGGATACATTTCTTTCCTAGCTAGTTAGGAGTTGAGCTCTGAATGAGTGCTGTGACGTGACCCTGGAGTCATGATTTCAGTAGACTGCAGGTGTTCTATCAGAGCAAGCATTTCCTACGAGCAGTCAAGCGAGCAAGAGCAGTCAAGCGAGCAAGAGATGATCTTTGTTATCTGTTCATAACAAGTCTGTCTTTATTTTCCTTGATTCTCTGTTATATCCCCAATTCTTATCTCCTGTCATCACTTCTGTATAGTTACATATAATTCAACAAATGCTGTGGTAAATTGAGAGTGATCTCAGAAAGCTTGTCATAAATTGCAGTTGTGGCAGGAAATAAAGCTTCTGCAGTGTTCCTTCCCCTCAGTTTTCCACTTTGACTTTTAGGAGCAGTTACCGGACCTGCACAACCATTTTTGTGATCTGAACCTGGAAGCTCATATGTATGCATCCCAGTGGTTTCTCACTCTTTTTACTGCCAAGTTCCCACTCTGCATGGTCTTCCACATCATTGACTTACTGCTCTGTGAGGTAGAGTGACTCCCATCTCTTACCTAAACCAAAGTAGAAAATAGTTTCTACCGAAAATGGTTACAGTTTTTTTCATTTTCTTTTTTCCTGTGACATTAAGCCATAAATACTGACCAAAAAGTTCTATTTGAATTTTTAGTAAAGACTATTTTAATTGTAATTTTATTATTTGTGAGAAATGAAAATGTTAAGGCATATATAATTCTTACAAAGTAAAATGAGGTAATTAAATTTGTATAATTAAATTCATAATAAGCCTATATCTGTGTAATAAGATATTACTAATATAAAGGACCTTTAAAGTTAAATAAATGAATTTAGAATCAGGTATTTTTAAGAGTAATGCAATTATACTCCACGAGTGAATATAAATGAAAGTTTTATTGTAGTTAAATCCTCAATTCGTAAGATCTCTCTTATGTATATGATGTTTGAGACTTCTACCAGATGATAGAGAAGTGACAAACTAAAGCTTCTATATCATATAATTATATTTTTATACAGTGGAATATTTCAAAAATTAGTTTGTAAAATTCCTTAGTATCTGTGTTTGTTTCTTTCATTTTTTTGAGTTCCTTAGATGGCTACATTTATTTACTTTATTCTTTTAAAGAAATAAGCAATATTACACAAACGTACATCATATACTGCCCATCAAAATGTTTGATAGTCTTAGCAGTAATAGGAAAGTTGCTGGATGAGAATAAGGTTTTTACTGGGAATATAAATGTATATAAAAATATAACTGTCTTAAAAAGCTGGAGTAATCAAAAGTATAAGCCTAATATAATCTAGAGAGTTTTACTACATTACTTTTCTTATACAAAATTGCCTCTTTCTTAAAAGACTAACCATTTTAATCACTCTAGGACCTAGAAATTTAATTATAGAAATGAGATTTAAAAAGATACAATGTATAAGCTATATAAAGCATAACAATTATTTCTCAGTCTGTTACAGCAATAACCATTTTATATACAAACATAGCTGGATTTTGTTCTTCAAAGGTTCTAGTTGGCAGTTGTACAATATTTGAAGGTTGCAGAGCATATTGTAAGCGTATAAGATTTTTAAACATTTGTAATATATTTTGATAAAGAAGTGTTGAATGCCTTGCTGTGGGTCACAGAATAAGTTCCCAAATTCTGAATATATAACAGCTAGAGAAACTGATTTATAATACATTAATTCTCCTATTTGTTTTACTTATAAATTAGTTTCTAAAATGCCTATCTAAATTTACCCTTAACGAAGAAGGCAGAATTACAAGCTAAAGCCTCATTCAACATCAAAATACTGTGGTCACGGTATGCACAAAGCAAGTTTAGGCATTTGTACTAAGAACTCCACTTTGCCTAATTATCCGAATTGGTGTGGTGAACAGTTCTGACTCCTCTAATTTAGTGCAATACTCTTTGAAAGTAAAAACCAAATTTGTATCTTTGAGTTCTTATAACAAGGTAATACTAAAAGTTAGTTTTGATGGATAAATATTCATAGGTCTATAATCATTGCATAATAAGCCGAGTTTAGTATTTCATGGTATTTATAAAAATAGGAAAGTGAGGGTATGGCATTTTAACAGTTTTATCTTTATATATAGTAGAAGCTTGCAAATCTTTATTATCATTGCTTCACGTTTTTTTGCTGAAAGAGATTATCTAGATTCATACTAGATTGGTTCTATAGTGCTCCTTATAGAAAAGAGAATGAAATTAATATACTCAATCATACCAGTCAAATTGGATTTCTCAGTCACTTTTGGTAGAGTAGTAATGCTATCCTTTACCACACTGGAATGGTGACTTTCTAAAATTGTCTGTACCTGAATGGTACTGTACCTGACATTGGAGCACTGTCCATGGGTCTTCTGGAACCCAAATTCACAATTTTTCATGAAATTTCATCTTAAAAATACTTGAATTTCTAATGTCAGTTGCTAAGAAAATTAGCAACATTTATGGTAGGAAAAGGAAAGAAAATTTATAAGCCTTCTCATCACCTGTCAACTGTGGTTCATAATCACAATGTTTGAAAGATCTTAATGCTCATTAAAATTAATGAAAGCATCATGGATGTTACTTTCCCTTCCCTTAAACTTGTACTCCAGCTGTTTGAGGAAGTTGTATAGCTTCCAAAACATGGAGTAGGTTGTAATCACAGCATCATGGTAACTAGGGAAATAAATAACTTCCCTTAACAGAATAAAGTAACTTTTCAAAATAAACTTTATTGGGAACAATATTGTAGAGTGCTTCAGGATATTCATTCTTTCCACTAACTCGTCTTTGTCAGAGGACTGTTTTGCAAAGGAAATTTTTAGATAAACTTTTATTTCCTGCCTGTCTGTGTTTTCTCTTTGCCCCTTTCCTTCTTGTAGTTAATAAAATATTTATATCAAAACTATTCTTTTATATGTGATAAAATATTTTAAAAGAAGAAATGGTAACATAGTCTTAAATAGAATCATCCATAGATGTTTGTTTTTGTCATATTATCTCTTTTTTAAGTAGACAATTCAAATCTTGAAGGTATGAATTAACCTTTAGTTACAAATGGAAAGCTAAGAAATTCTCAGATGGAAAAGTGTTGATTTTTCAAAGTTCATCATTCTGACCAAAAAAAATCTATTGTTCTATAGAGTATTTTGTTCAAAGTTCCTATGGCAAAGTGAGAAAGAAAGACATTGAGCTTGATACTTTACACTTAGAAAGCATGTCATCATTTCATATTTTCCTAAGTTATATGCTTTTAAGGATTTCTTCATTCATCCTGAGGTTAAGAATATGAAGTTAATTTAGTAGCAGAAAAGGGAAGAATTTTAGTAGACTTTGGCAATGCAGTCTGAATGAAAAACTCCTAGTTGTTAATAGTTATATTTAAAATGTTTATTTAAAGCTGAGTATATGGTGACTTGGGTTAATTCCCATGTTTAGTGAAGATGGATGGCAACAGGATTTGAAACTAGAATTTGAAAATACATTTTCTTATATTGAGATGAATGGAACTCTCTGTAGATTGTCATTTAGCCAATAATTGAGATGAAAATTATTTTTTAAAAAAGAGCAAAACCTTCTGTTTTATTGACTCCTCTGTCTATGTGGAGAGATAAGAAAAAGGCTAAAAGTACTAACAATTATAGTGTAAATAGTATGCTGTTAACCCACCAAGAATGAAACATTGCTTTTTAAAGAACTTTTTATTGAAGTATCACAAAATAAAAGAAAATGTGCAAAAATTAGTGTAAAACATGAAGCGTTTTCACAAAGTGAACATACTACTGTAATGAGCACCCAGATGAAAAAAAAGCAGAACATTATCTGCGTTTCAGAAGCCCTTCTCCTTTTCACTGCCCCTTCAGTCCCTACCCCTCCAAAGGGTAATCACTATCCTGACTTTTAACACCAGAGATGAGTTTTGATTGTTTTTGAACTTTATATAAATAGAATCATACAATATGAACTCATTTTTCTCTAGCTTTTTCATTCATCATTATGTTTGTGAGATTCATCCATATAGTTGCGCCTAGGCATGGTTTGTTTGTTCCATTGTGTGAATATACTACATTTTATCCATTCTTTCATTCTATTGTTGATGGGCATTTGGGTCATTTCCAGATTAGGGCTATTATGAATAGTCTTGCTGTGAACTTTCGTGAACTTGTCTTTTGATAAACTTACATGTCCACTTCTGTGGGTGCACATCTAGGAGTGGAATTGCTGGGTTAGGGCATCCGTATACTAGGGTCTAGTAGATGCCGCCAAACAGCTTTCCAAAGTATTTTGAGCATTACCTTTCAAGTTGTTTTTATTCAGTGAAAGTCTTCCTTGTGATTAAGGGCAGGTTTTTGTTTTATTTTGTTTTGGTTTTTTAGAGGGCAGGTCCGGGATCAGATTAGAGTTCATGAATATGGAACAAAATGAAACTCACTGGTGATTGACCTCATTCACTTGATCTCTGAAGTTGTGTACAGATGGGGACTAAGAGCTAGATCTAAGAGCTGAATCATTTTTGTGCTTATGTGAGAGATGTTACCCTGATGGGGAAAATCCACACTGTTTTCAGTTATAGAAGAAGTAACGTAGAGACAGTTTAACATTGGAGTTAAGATATTTGGCGATTTAGTTAACCCTTCCCGTACCATCTTGTTACTGTACCTATATATGTTTCAGTTTCTTTCTGTGTAAAATGAAGCTAACAATACCTATCTCCCAGGTTTAGGGATTAAATGAAATTATGAATATAAAGTGTTTATTAGCACTGTGCTTGCTACATAATAAATATTCAGTTAATAGCATTACCCTCCATTCTACTCCAGCCACCTGTATAGCCCTTTTAGTTGCTTCTCAGTTTTTTCAGTTAACTAGCTGACTTCAGAGATTCTTAAGAGAGGGTTAACTAGCTGTTGGTTCTTTAATACATTTCTAACCACCTTTGTTTCCCCTCAGTTGAGATGCTTCTTTGCTAAAACCAGAATTTTAGCCATTGACTTTAATGGAAGTTTCATTTTATTTCCTTTTGACTAGTGATTCAAGTAGTTCTCCAAAAGTGCTTTTTTCTTCCACCTTCTTTCAAAAGACTTAAGGGAAACAACATTTCTTTTAGTCTTGACAAGATAACTGACAGCTGGTGTATGAAGTTGACTCTTCCCAGATAGTTCAATTTTTGGAGTATCAAATATATTCAGCTTTATATAGTAACGTGATATTTCATGAAATTTAAGGAAATCATTGACCCTTCAAATTAGAGTGTATTTCCTGCTTCTCCTTTCTTCTTTGGATGATGAAAAAAGTGACAGTATTACAATATATGATTAAATACCACCAAGTATAATCCCCCTTTCAAAGCAGTTTCTGAAGCTGTTATCTGAAGAGTAGATTCATTATATAATATTCTTACTCTTTGCCCTCATTTTCCTCCCTCCAACAGTAATATATTGAATTTTTTATTGAGATATAATATATGGCACTACGTAAGTTTGAGGTGTACAGTGTATTGGT